GAGGCCTAGGATTGTCTCAATTACTTGGTTTTAGTAAAAATTGGATTGATATATTAGCCACTAATGGGAAATAGACACAACTTGCATTATTATTGGATGATGCAAAAAACTTGATTCCTGCAGGTATTTGTGCATTGCAAGTTAAACTTGGAGTTCTCAATGAAATTCCACCACAAGATGATTGCTTCCCTGTTAATTTTGGACAAGCTATTTATTTTCCTAGATAGTTTTTCATAGTGAGAAACCAATTTGAGATATGTTTTACCTCCTAATTGGGCATGTTTATCTTTGTTCTTTGTTTGACTTGGGTTTGAGACCAAACTTTATACCATGCTAGATGGTGGAGTACTTATATCCATAAAGTTTATGTCCAGAAGAAGTGTCATAAATTCAAAGGTTAAACCTTCAATTTTCTTGGGATATTTAGAAGGTATGAAAGAATATGATTATTCTCTAAAGAGTAAGACTCTATTGGAAAGATGGGATGTGCTCTTTGATAAGAGTAGTTGTACTAGGATTGCATTGAAGTTCCTACTCCTACTTTTGTGGAACTCCAAAGGGTAGACACACTTAACTCCTCAAAATTCTCTTGTTGCCTCTTGCTCCTGGTGGTGGTAATGTGGTTCTTACCTTCTCTCCTATTGGTGATTCAGACCCTTCAGGCGGTCTTATATTATTGGCCCCATTATTCACGGTTTAGGGTTTACATTCAAACAAAGAAAAGATTAGATCAAATGAAATGGGAAACTTGCTAAATGCATGATATACAGATGCACTATTTGTTACCTAGAGAATGAAGGAGGCTTTTATTTAGGATAAGCATGCTCAGCTGAGACAATAACAATCTTGACTCAAAACATTGGCAAATCCAGAGAGTTAAAGGCTCAAAGCCTTTGTAATTTAACACTTCTATTCAGCATTGTAATTAACAAAATATTCAGCAACTTTGATAAAGAAAACTCTAATATACCTTCAATTCATCTGCTCTTAAAGCTGAAATTCTATTGGATAGTCGAGTTTGACACTCAATAATCACACAGCTCCAATTCTCCAACAAGACCCACAGCACATACCTTTTGGCCTTCAAAAGAATTCTTGTTAACAATAAGAACTCCAAATAAAGTTCTTTACACCCACAAAAGAGATGAGAATTTCTTTACCTCTTTAAGAAGTGAAAGTAAAGACATGGACATGTCACTTGAGTAAAAAGGCATCACTTACATAACAAATTGCAAGAATAAACATGAGAAAGCTTTCTCTTTTTGTAAAAGCAAACACAAACATACTATGATTGCTCTAAATTTTATATTACACAAATCTATAAGAAACTGAGCAAGAGCTCCTAGCTTTACTCTTCCTTTCACCTCTAGCTGCTTGGGCCACACATCAAAATTTGTCATGATGTTCACTATCAAATCCAAATGAAATCACACTATCAATAACCTTGATGGTGATTGAGAAACTTCAAAACTTTCACTCCCAACTTTGTCATTAGTACCACTCTTATCTGGAATTTTGTTATGAATCATATCATTTGCCTAGCAAACTCCATCAGCACCAACAACAAGATCTACAGCAACGCCATAGTAATGGTTGGCAAAGCCTTCCACCACTAACACAAAGACTTCTTTTTTTAAGATTGTACACCTTATAAAAGGTAAAACTAAAGTAATTGTTTTTTCAATTTTCTTAAATGGTCAAGAGAATACCAATATCTGTTCATAGAAAATCAAGAAAGAATATTTAGATAGTGCTAAATTAAAGTGATAATTTTAATCACAATAATAATCTTAAAACTAATCAATATGAACTTAATCAATATACTAAAACATCACCATCAAAATTGTTATGCCATCAATCCTTCTTTATGGAGCTTCCTCTAGTCTTTTATCTAGTGCAATATAACACATCATAAGTGCTCTCATCCTAGAGTATGGGTAATTGCTCTTGATTAGATGATGATTTGAGCCAGTGGAACTCTAGTAAAACACACATTGCTAAAGCTCGTTCTCCAATCTCTGAAAATACTTAAAGTTTAAGTTGAAAGGACTAATCTTTATTTAGAAAGCTAGAAGAAGACATATCATCTTCTTCCTCCATCCTTAGGATCTTTCATATGAGTGTTTGATCAGAATTTATCTTGGCATTTCCTTTACTCTACACTGAATTGTTAGAGAGGAGAACGTATGGCGATGAGTTACAAGGATCTAGCTTGAGAACCAACGTTCCAGCTCGTCCTCCTCGTGATCTATCCTTGTGGCTGCTACACGCTGATAACAGCGTCATCCATGCCACATCATCAGGCTCCACGGGCATAGCATAGATCAGCTCCTCAGCATCCTGGAGCCGCCCAGATCGCCCGAGAAGATCAATCACGCAGATGAAGTGCGGCAGCAATGGAGCACAATCAAAATCACCCATCATCCACGAGAGGTATTTGATCGCCATCTCCAGCGACCCAGCGTGGCTGGATCCAAACAGCACGCACTGGAACGTGATATGATCCACGCGCGCGCCATCTTGGATCATGAGAGCAAACAGATCGAATGCCTCGACTGGATGCCCATTCTGGGCATATGCTGCGATCATCGCGTTCCACGAGACGCCACTGGGATTGGCGATCCGATCGAAGAGAGATCGCGAGCGATGGAGCTGGCCGCACTTGGCATACATGCTGAGCAGCGCGGTAGTCACGACGACGCTCGCGGATTCCAGCCCATCGGCGGAAAGATCCTCGTGGATGATCTTTCCCGTGCTGGGCGACGCGAGGGTGGAGCACGAATCAAGCGCGCAAACGTATGTGATCTCGTCCGGGTGGACGCCCTCGAGGTCCATGAGCCGGAAGAGCTTGAGGGCGGACCTTGGATCGCCGTGCTGGGCGTGGGCCGAGATCATCGCGTTCCACGCCGCGAGATCCTTGTCCGGCATCTCATCGAAGACGAGGCGTGCGCGATCGATCTGCCCGCTCTGCGCCAGCACCGCGATCATCGACGTCCACGAGATCACGTCCCTGGCCGCCATTACCCAGAAGAAGCGCTCTGCGCGGTCAAATCGCCCGTTGCGCGCGCACGCCGCCACGATCGCGTTCCAGGCCGTCACGTCCCTCTGCGCCATCGCCGCGAAGATCGCCATCGCCGCGCCCAGATCGCCGGCCTTGCTGTACATGTCGAGGAGTGCGGTGGCCAGCACGGGATCGTCTAGAGATGATCCCTCGAGAGCGCTGCGATGGATCAGCTTACCAGTAGCAAGATCGCCGCTGACAGCGCAGGCGCTAAGGATCCCCACGAATGTGATCCCGTCCGGCCTCGTGCCCTCGAGATCCATGCGCTTAAAGAGATCGATGGCATTACGCATTTGCCCATGCCGGGCATTTGCTGATATCAAAGCGTTCCAAGACGCCACATCATTCTCAGGAGAATGGAGGAACAAATCTTCTGCTAGAAGAATCATACCCTTCTCTGCGCATGCGGTGATCAAAATAGTGTACGACACGACACTTGCTTCCGGGATCCTCGCAAGAACAGATCTACCGTACAGCAAATCCCCGCCATGGGCAGTTGCTGTGAGGAGGATGTTCCACGAAATAACATCTCTTTTGGGCATTTTTGCGAAGAGATCTCTCGCGGAGGCCGTGCGCCCTGTTTCCCCGTAAGCCTGTAGAATCGCATTCCAGGAAACGATCGTCCAGTAGGGGATCTTCGTGAAGCACTGCTCCGCGAGCTCGCACTGCCGCCCCAGCGCATAGGACGTGATGAGCGCGTTCCAGGCCACAGCGTTGCGCTGCTCCATGTCATCGAAGAGCGCCCTCGAATCCTCGAAGCTCCCAGCCTGCGCACACGCCGCCAGGAGGATCGTCCACGAGAAGATGTTCGTGGAGGGCATCCAGGCAAAAATCTCCTTGGCAGTGGCGAGATCGCCAGTCTCGGCGAAAGCCTGCGCGATCGAGTTCCATGACAAGGAGTCCCAGAAGGGCATCTTCTGGAACAGATCCGTGGCGTCGCCAGCCATGGCCTTGTTCGCGAATCCCGTGAGGAGCGAGTTCCAGGCGACCACGTCCCTCCTGGGCATTCGATCGAAGCAGCACCGCGCGCCCTCCAGATCGCCACTGTTGACCAGCGCGGTGGAGAGCGCCGTCCAGGAGATCACATCCCTCGCCGGCATCAGATCGAAGACCCTGGTGGCGTCGTCCACTCGCCCCGCGGTTCCACACGCCTGGATCATCGCGTTCCACGAGATCTCGTTGCGCTGCCGCATCGTCGCGAAGATCCGGCCGCTGGAATCCGCGCAGCTGGCGAACGCCTGGATCGCGTTCGTGCACGAGACGATCCCGCGCTCCGGGATCTGGCCAAACAGCCCGCGCGCCTCCTCCACGAATCCATTCTGGACGAACCCATTCATCATCGCGTTCCAGGAGACGATGCTTTGCTCCGGCATGGCGTCGAAGATCTCTTTCGCGAGATCCACCTCGCCATACTGCGAGAGCGCGCTGATCATACAGTTCCATGTCACGATCCCCCAGCACGGCATCCTGGAGAACGTATCCCTTGCTCCCTGCAAATCCCCGGCTTGGGTATTTGCCACAATGAGACTGTTCCAAGTCACATCGTTTCTCTCGGGCATTGCAGTGAATATCGCGATGCTCTGCTGCAAATCTTTCGCTCTCGCGAATCCCTGGAGCAGTGCCGTCCAGCAAACAATCCCTCTCTCCGGAACCTTCTCAAAGAACTCGAGAGATTCCACCAAATGCCCGTTCTGGGCATTTGCCGTGAGAACCATGTTCCACGCGTATGGATCGCGGGCGGGCATGGCAAAGAACACCGCGATTGCCTCGCTAGGGCTGCGGCAATCGCCATAGAGCTTGATGAGGAGGCGCTGGAGATTGGAGTCGGATCCATGGCCGGCGCGGAGGATCTGCGCGTGGAGCTCCCGCGCGTCCGCCAGGGATTTGGAGCGGCAGCCCTGGCGGATGAGAGCGACATAGCCAGCGGCGGTGGCTGGCTCCTCCGCGGAGATGGATGGGCGCCCAATCGATGTGGCGCTCGCTAGTGCCCGCATTCATCGTGGAATCGAATTTAAAACGCAAAGCGCTCACTAGGGTTTATGCTAAGGTAGAGAGGGAGAAAGAGAGGCTAAGAGCCCTAAATTTTGGGCGATTCCAGATGCTGCGTGTGGCGCTCGCGCGAGTGAGGGCGTGTCGTGGGGTAGCATGGCAGCTGGAATGCGCAATGGCGGCGCAGGGAAGAGGCATAGCAGGTCTGGGTTTTGCGTCGCCGTCGAGGGTTTTGCGTGGCGCCGACGACAAGGATATCGATGATCTCGGCATCGCCACGGGTCTGGAGCGCGAGGAGCTGGAATTCGCGAAAGCTGTGAGTGAGAAAAGCGGCTTTTTTCTCTCTTTCCTTTTCTTGTGTGCTTACATTCTTTCTTGGTGGGCAATTTCCAGGGAAAGAAGAGATGGGACGAGCCTCCGGTTGGACCTTTTGGAACTGCGGTGTGTTCTTCTTAAAGATCTCTCTTTGCATGATCTTCTTTTACCTTTTGGTCTCTTTTTTATCTTTTTCTCCTTTTCTTTGCTCCTCCTCACAGGAAAAACCAGCAATCATCGAGTCTTGGTACGATGAGCGAATCGTTGGATGTCCAGGAGGCCCCGGAGGTAAGTTGTGATCAAACAACGCAATCAAAGCTTCAAGTTCTTGGGAGAACTTGACACATTCTTCTTCTTTCTGTAGATGACGAACACGATGTCATCTGGTTCAAGCTGAAGAAGAACGAGCGCCACGAATGCTCCATTTGTGGACAGATCTTCGAGGTAAAAAGCCGGTTTTTCTTTGTTTCTCTTACTCGAATCGCTCTCTCTTTCAAAACTTACGCAAATTCTTGCAGCTCAAATGCATTGGACCTGGTGGACCTCCAGGAGGACACCATGGCTCTCATCACTAAGCTCGGGCTTCTTTTTTCCATGGTTGGAGTTTTTTCCTTTTCTCTGCCGCATGCTTCCGCTGACAAAATTTTCTTTTCTTGGTTGTGGGGAGGCAAAGCAAACCGGCTTATAAAACAAGACTTTAGTGCACACAAATAACACCCACGCTCCTTTTTTCCTTCTGATTGTAGTAGAGAAAGAACCAATTTGATGATAATGAAGAGACCAATGGTTTTGTATAAATTTTGATAGATTGCATGGGTTTTACGACAACCAATGAATTTTTGTGATTGCTTTTAAATAATGTGATGACAACCAATGGTTACAACCATATAGGTATGTTTCAATCAAAATTTGGAGACTTTGACGTTGGCCAGATCTTTGGAATCGCTGGTGTTCTCACTCCATTCTTAACACCACCACTACCGTACGCCTTGTTCCTCATGTGGAATCCACTGCCATTCAGGAGCAATCGCGTCTGTTCTTTGTAGATCCTCTTATCGAAACTTTGGCTGGAACTTCGAGGACTAGATCCAGTTGAGCTGTTCTCGGCCACCACCGTGGAGGAAGAATCCATAGCCTTCTCCACCAGCTTCTTCCTGTTGTCTAGAAATCCTTCCACTCTAGCGATGGCGCCATCGAGTTCCGAGTTCCTGTGTTCTATCCCAAACCTCGCCTCTGCCAGCCTCCCTTGGACCTTCTCCTCCTTCCAAACCTCTCCCATTTGCAAGGCCTTCCTCGTCTCCTCGGCTTCTCGCCTAGCTGCCGATGCCTGCCTTCTAAGCTCTATAGCCAAGGCCTTGTCGTCCCCCACCTCCTTCGCTAGCTCGTCACACACGTCTTCTATCATCCGCTTGGAGTTTCTCTCGGCGACGATGTCCTTCTTTGCCTGCGCTATGGCCTTGCGGATCTCCAGAAGCTCGGCCTCCAGCTTCTGGTTGGCAAGCTCGAGGCTCTTGTTTGCGTTCTTCTCCTCCTTGAGCTTGTGCCTCATCGCCTGCAGCGAAGACGTGATCTTGTCCTGGACTTGAGACTCCCATAAGGATCTGCCATCCTCGTACCTGCTGGACAGCCGCTCCAGCTTCGACTTGGCAGCTGTGTGAGCCTTCTCGAGCCTCTCGACTGTTGTCCACGTTTTGAGAAGCTCCAAACGGAGTTTCTGGCTTGTATCCTCGACAGGAACAGTCTGCTGTTTCTTTTTCACCTGCAGACAAGGCATGCCGCTTTCAGTCGGAGTATACAAAACTGGCTCGTGAAAAATGGCAGAGGTCAGTCAAATCCTGAATCTAAATGAAAAAATGTTGGCAAGATATATCTGACAGATTACCATTCACATGCTGAGAAAACTTTGCAAACGCAAAAGAACCCAGAAAAAAAACGAAGGACAAGAACACTCACCTCAGGAGATTGCTGCTGTTGAACTCTCGCTGTTCGTGGAGTAGTAGCACGGGACGGACTAAGGCCGGAGACGAAATTCCTCGGCCTTCTCCCGTTATGATTCCGCTCGGGTTTTTTCTCCTCCTCCACCTCCTGCTTGCAATCCTTGACAAGCTCTTGCTTTCCGAGCGTGGCCTCCACCACAGCGGATGCTACCGCAGCCACAAAGAAAGGGTTGTCGTAAAACTTCCAGTTTCCCTGCTGGATTGCTGGAGCATCCGCCTTGGTACCTGAAGATCCCGTGGCTGCGGAGCGGCAATTGATACCTGGCATAGCTCAGCTCAAGCTACCATACCATACGAAGACGAAGAAAGAATACCGCCCAAGTTCTCCTTCCTCAAAGTTCCAAAAGTATTTCTCCGCCCTCTACCTCTACACCCGCATCCCAAAATCATCCTTCGCTACAAGAAAATTTCGTCTGTGGTCATTACTCCCGTCTGCAACTGATCCTTCGCAAGTTCCCATGAAACCTGTGTGCTCACGAGTCTAGAGATCTGCTTACACCATCACTTGAGGCACCCCTGTTTTTTCCTCCTTCTGACTGCACTTAAGAGGGGAGTAACCTCTGATCTGATGCCTTGCTGCTTGTTGCGAATTGAATGCACAGCCGAGAAACCTGTGTGTCCGCTGTCCCTGTCCCCAGTCTCTGTCCCGGGAGCCTGACAAGTTGTTTTCTCTGACGCTCAGCTTGTGAGCGTGATTGCATTCTTTTTCCACCGCTGCTCTCACCCTGCTTGCATGTACTCCACATAAGTACTGAAAACTAACGAGGAGTTTACCCGTTGATTCCACCGAGGACGGTAACTTGACACCGAGAAATCTTCGTTGTCCAGTTCGTGCATCGTGAACTTATGATAAGTTAACTCGTAGTGGGTCTGTACCTGGTGTCAGGATGAAGAACAAAACCAACAAGGAAAAAACAAAGATGTGAAAGAAAACTATGAGAAAATCCAACTTTCTAGCCTTGCAAGATCATCATCGAGGACGCAGGAGACTTTACTCAAAAGCACTGGTTTTTTCTTAGAAGGAGTGGATCGAACGCCACAAAGGAAGAGAAGAAAGAAGAAAAAAAATTAAAGAGAGTTATCACAGCACAGCACATCGCCACAATGCAAGCAAAATCCTCTCTCACTTGCCTTGCGGAGGATGCTGCACTGCTACTCTTATTCTCTCACTCATTCATCACCGGCTTGTTCTCGCTGGCCTTGGGCCGCTGCTCCTTTGGCTTCTGATCCTCATTCTTCCTGGAAATACCGAAAATCCAAAGAATCACCGCGCTGCTCGCTAAAAACCTAGAAATCCCACCTCTTATCCGCCGCGCCTCCCTTCTGGCTGAGGAAGGACCGGAAGAGCGCCGAGTTCACGTCGTAGATCATCGTTCTCTTTCTCGCAAACCCTAACCCTTGTCGCTGACGTGGCATTCGACGTGTCTTAAATAAAACCGTCGGATGCGATTAGGGTTTTATCATTTGTAGGGTTCTTCACGAGAGAGAAAAAGGAAGCGTGCGCCATGGCGAAGCATCATCCGGATTTGATCATGTGCCGCAAGCAGCCGGGCATTGCGATCGGTCGCCTGTGCGAGAAGTGCGATGGCAAGTGCGTGATCTGCGATTCCTACGTCCGGCCGTGTACCCTAGTCCGCGTGTGCGACGAGTGTAACTATGGATCCTACCAGGGGCGCTGCGTCATCTGTGGAGGATTGGGGATCTCCGACGCTTACTACTGCAAGGAGTGCACGCAGCAGGAGAAGGATCGAGATGGGTGTCCCAAGATCGTCAACCTGGGCAGCGCCAAGACCGATCTCTTCTACGAGCGCAAGAAATATGGATTCAAGAAGCGGTAGCCTCGGTGCTACAATCCAATCGATCGTTAAAGGTCAGTCGGTTGGATTGCTAGCTTCTCTGTAGCTACTGGAAAATTTTCTAGAACACAAGGCTGTATTTCTCGTTGCTTCTACTCTTCTCTTGTTCGCTTCTTCTTGTTTGTAGATTTCTCGTTGGATTTCTCTTTGGGTTTCTCGCTGGTTGTGTCTTTGATCTTCTTTTTCTTTGGTTCGCTTGTCTCGCCGTTTTGCTTCCGCTTTAGCTTCTTGAGCTCTTTGAGCTTCTTCGCTGGAGACTCGTCTTCCGCGAGATCTGTGGCTTCGTCATCTTTGCCAGCTTGTTTCCTCTTGGGTTTCTTGTGCTTCTTTGGTTTCTTCTTTCTGGGCTTTTCTTCTTCGTACTCGTCGTCTTCTTTGTCCATGTAGTCTACCTCGTTCTCGATCTGCTTCCTCTTGCCTTGCGATTGCTCCTGGCTCGCTGTTAGGAGGGGCTCCTCGGCTGAGAACTCCGAACTTCAGTACACAAAGAATCATAGAAACTTTGACGAACTTACATGTCTTTGCTTGATCATCGAAAACCACAGCCACCAGCGGTTGTTTCAGAAAAATCTACACAACCAAGTTAAGCAAAAAACAGTGATTTCGGAAAAAAAGAGTGCCTCACCCTTCCGAGTAATTGCCTGCTCCGAATGTCATGAATTCTCAGAAACCGATCCAGGCCTATCCAAACTTTGAAACTCAGCACCTTCTTTCGCCAGTAAAACAAACTTACCGCAAGACGCAATCAAAGGCAGTGAAGGATGCCTTGCAATGCATCGAACACTTCCAGCGAGCTTTCCCTTGAATCCTGACAGGAGCTTTCCTGCAAATGGGAAAACGAGTTTTCCTTCTGTAAATCTCTGCAAGAACAAACATACCAGTTCGCATGTCAAACGAGGCCATACTACCGGTTGAGTTTCCCACATAGACCGTAAAACCATCTGGATCTTCAGCTACAGCTTTGATAGGAGATTCTTTGAAAGTTACTGCTACAACAGGCCTTTTCTGAGCGTGGACGTCATACAAACGAACCTGTGCATGCGCGTTAATGTCAGGAACAAAATTGGTTTTGGTTTTGCAGCGAACCTGATAGTCTCCTGTCCCGATAACCAGCTTGCGATGGTCATCCCTGAGAAGAAACGTAGAGGCCGTGACATAAGGTAGCGATACCAATCCGATATTGTTTGGTCTGGGCTGATCGCAACGAAAACGAGCTTGTGAGAAACAGGATCGAAAAGGAAAAAGCTCTCAACTACCTTCTTCGCTTCCCAGACTTTCGAGCTGCTTTCGAGATCCCAGAGACTCAATTCCACCCGGTTACTTAACAACAAAACGAATGAGGCATGGAAAACTAGCAAAACACAAAGCAAACATACCCTCCGAACGACGCAACGTTTTCGCTGTTGTGAACCCTCATGGATAGAACTTCTCCAGATTTGCATACGTTCCATCTCGATACTGGAGACGGAGCATCCTCGTCGCCAAAAGTCCGCAACGCTGCGTCGCCATTTCTACTGCAGCTCAACACAGATTGTCCGCTGGAAAAAGTAAGAGAACTCTAGCTTGTTACATAGCTACAAAGCTATAGCAAAGGTTCAAACTTACCACGGACCATCTTCCCTGAAGAGATGGAGACCGGATATGGCATCATTCTCTCTTTCTTTGGCGTCTAAGTTTAAAGAGGCTAGTTGTGCGCAGATACTTCCATCCGTGGACTCGAGGATTTCTATCTGCGACAAAGCCACTTAGAACAAAACAACGAAAGGAAACGCACGACTTACATCTCCGGATTTCCTCGCCACTGCTAGCCTCTGCAAAGCAAAAAATAATAAGCAAGTGCCACAATAAGAGCGAAGAAGAGCCATACATTACTGGAATTCGAGTAGGAAATCGCCGAGATTCCAGCGCCAGGCTGGCCCCATCGCGCGACAACATCAAGCGGCCCATTCTCTGCCCCATTCTCGCCGCGCGCTTCGACAACTGGAGCCAAGTGATTCCAACATCAAAATCTCGAGAATCGCGAGCTAGCTAATCGGCAGCTGACCTTTCACGAACCCCAGCGCATCGCAGCAGATTGCACGGAGCTGCGCGGGGCATCCCGGAGGCTCCAGCGTCGACGTCCGCGGCATTGCTAAAACCCTAAATCCCGCAAGGAGCCCTAAGGTATATCTCGAGGAGCCCTAAATGAAGATTAAATTTGAACCTACCTTTAAGAACCACCGCGAAACCGACGGCGGGGATTGAGTGCATGACAAAGGGAATATACCTTTTGTCATTTTGCCCTAATCTCCCTGCTAAGAACTAAAGAATGAGAGTGACAAGGATGCATTGAACGGGAGGTTCTGGAAAAGGGGGCAAGTTGGAGATTTGCGAGCACGGCCAGATCGGTGAGCAATATTTCCTTGTTTTTGCTACTTCGTTGAAAGTTCTTCGTGGGTTTTTGGTGCTGCGCATCTGGGCTGTGTTGGGTCCCTCCAAGATTGAATTTTGCTTTGGATGGTCGGTCTTTGGTTCATCGCCGGTCAGAAAGATCTCACTCAAGCTTGTTTTTCGCTGTAGCAGAGTCGCGAGAAGAGAGGATTTAAACACGCGGGATGCATGGACACTTTGTAGCTTCCACGCTTCTTTCCAGGTGTGTTTGTGTGTTTGTGTTATTCCATTCTTTCCTCGATTCATCCATTCATTCATTCGTCTCATCGATCGATCGCATCAGTCGGTCCTTTGCACAGAAGAGCCGTGAGAGTTTTGCCAAATCTCCGTGCTTTGAATCCAGTCCCGCCTGGACCGTTCCTTCCACACTCCCGCAGCAAACCAGTCCAAAGGAAATCTGGAAGATTTCTCTGGAAGAAGAAAAAAAAAGAGGTTTTTTACCATAGAACTTCGATGGCTGGCCCCTTCCTTTGTGAGGTTTGTAGGTGAGCGATTCATGCCTGCTCTTCGTGGGTGGTTTTACGTCACTCCTCTCTTCTGTGCTTTGTTTATACTATCTTGCTTGTACTGAAGCAACCAAAGTTTTCCCAGGCCTTGTCCTCTTTCGAGAACACTTTGATTCCTCCTGGTATTTGATATTGGCTTGGCATCATCACCTCTCTTTCTTTCTCTTGCTCTTGTAGCTTCTTGGAGCTACACTGTTCCTCGGTAATGTGCCCTCTTTCATCTACACTTTCCTCTGCTGCATGAATTTCTTTATTGTCAGTCACAGCTTCTCTTTGTTCTCTCTCTTGTTAAGATCTCTCGAGAAAGACGAGATTGTTTGCTTCCTTTTCATGTGCAAAAGATCTTCCGAGGCTTGCAACATTCATCACAAAGTTTGTGCTCGCACTGCATCATCCTTAAGATTAGCTATCACCTCTTTGTTTGCGTGGCTTTTGAACTTATCCACAAGGGGCAAGCTTCTCAAAGATCTGGTTTATCTGTGTCAGAATTAGGAGTGACGCGTTTCGATCTGGCAGCGAACACCGAGGTTAGAGCTATCTTTAAAACGTTTCTAGAAAGAACGCTTGCTGAGGAGGAGCAACGCAAGGATGTGCCGTGGTATCACCTCCGACGCTTACATCTACACTCCATATTCAACTTCCGACTATGGGGGACAGAGTAAGCTCCCCGAGGAGTTTCCAGAGTGGGAGTTTGACAATGGCCCGGCTTACGAGATTGACGAAGTTCCAGTGCCCGACTTGGACGCTGTTCTAAAGAACGACAGTGCCGCAGATGAGATCTTTAAGTCGTGGTCGGCTTGGGAGGCCTCGGTCCAGGAAAAGGAGGATGTTTCTCCGGCTCTCCAGAGCGAATCCTCCGAGTATGACAAGCTCGACTCGCCGCCGCTCTCGGAGAGCTCCGAGGTTGGAGACAATGCCATCCAGATCTCGGAGATGAAGCTCATGGAGACGAGCGACGTGGTGGCGGAGCTCCAGCAGAACGAGGACGAGATGGTGGTCGAGAAAAGTTTCACTCGTGGCGAGTTCAAGCTGGAGGAATCGAAAACTCGAGGTAAGTAGTGTTTTTTCTTCGGTAAAAGCTGGTCTTATTCTTCTTTCGCAGGCTCTAAGAACGCTGCTACTGTGGTCTCCGGTCCAGACACGACGATGGAAACGCTCGAGAGTTGCAAGAAGAAGCACTACCGGGGTGTTCGTCAGCGGCCTTCTGGAAAATGGGCCGCGGAGATTCGTGATCCTCACCAGGGAGTCCGACTCTGGCTGGGATCCTTCGCGACGGCGGAGAAGGCTGCGCTAGCTTATGATGCTGCCGCTCGGAGGATCAAAGGCAAAAAGGCCAAGCTTAATTTCGTGGACAAGGATCCGGAGCTCCTGCTGGAGCCCAAGGACTTCTACGCAGTAAACAAAGGCATGAAGAAGAGGAGATCGTCGCCCAAAGTAGCAGCGGCAGCGGCAGTGGTAGCAGCTCCTTCGCATCAAAGTTTTGTCCAAAACCAGCAGCCATTCCGCCCCGGAGTTGTGGTGACAGATCTTCTCGAGACGCTCAACTTGAAAGGTTTGCAGGACAAGGTGGATGTCAAGGGACTCCAGGACAAGCTCTTGCAGTTCTTGCTCAAGGAGCTGCTCGAGTCCAGGAATGGTGGCGGTGGCAAAAAAGACGTGATTTTGGGAACCGCCAGTGGTAATGGCCATGGTCACGGTTGTGGTACGTCCTCTTCTTCCGCGTCTGTGACTTTGGATCCCGAAGAGATTACTTGGTAGAAGATTGGAGATCACCATGGTGAAGAGAAGAGGTTTTCTCTTGCAATGCTTCGCTACCTTCTATATAAAAGTAAGCTTCCTTCTCAACTTGGTACTCACTCTCCGACTTGGAACGAGTCTAGAGTTGTAAAAATTTGGAAAGTTTGGATAAATCCAGTGCTACAAGGAGAACTCCAGAAACGAGAATAAAAAAGAGAACTTTGCTATCAAGTGGACCTGGAACACTTATATATATCTCAAGAAACTACTCTACAGTTCGTGCGGATTCGCCCCTGGTTACCAGAGAGCACACCGATGGTGCTCATCTTTACCATTGCATTCACGAACTTAAACCTCCAAACCGCCTCGTTGGCCTGCTTGTCCTCGACACTGTCTCGAGTGTCCAAGTCCGCGAACAAGATCTGGTCCGACGTGAGTATGCTCCTGCGAAGGCTGAGCGATGTGTAGTAGCCATTGTCGAACAAGTTGGGAGAGAGAGGGTCGAGAGCTATGGATTTGCTTTTAGGATCCAGGAAGTCGCTACCTTTGGGACACAGAGATTTGAGAAGTCTGGCCATGTTTGGATCCAAGTCGGGGTCCTGGACCGAGGTGGTGCTGAAGTTATACAACCTGTTGACGAAGGAGAGGCAATGCGCGATTCCAATCGTGTGAGCTCCTACGATGGAGTAAAAACAAACTTTTTGGCGATTGAGAGATAAGCATGATGGAAATTTTCACCTGAGAGAGTGATCATCTCTTCCTGTGTCATTCCTTTGCGAACAAAACTCTTGGTCAGTTGATCGACGTTGAACAGCGGCGATGGAAGATTTGCGCCGACTTGGTCTGCTCGAGACACGGTTCCATCTCTTCTTCCACCGAGGACGTCCCAGCGAGGTCCACCAACCTGTGTTTCAAAACCACCAGTTTACGCAAGCTCCTGAAGAAAACTACAACAAAAAATCACTTTTTTTTTCATTCTATACCTGTGAGACGGCGTCGCGAGCAGCGTACGTGAGTATATCAGCACAAGACACTGTTCCAGGACACCGATCCTCGAGCCGAGCCTTTGCATTGTCAATGACTTCGAATCCACGAAGACCGAAGTTTGGAATCGCATCCTTCTCGGCCTTGTTGTTCCCGGTAGAATCGATGAGAACCGAGCCATCGCATCCCTGCCAAAGGTGGAGATCATGAGAGAAGCTCGAGAAAAGAATCAAAACCAAAGCTTACCCGGACAAAGCAATCGTGGAAGTGAAGACGTAGAAGCCCAGCAGCGATTCCAGGATTAGTCGCGACTGCCTGAGCCACCGTGAACTGGACGACGGACTCGGCCTCGGGGCACGAGTCGGCATAAAAACCCAGCCTCAACTCGCAGCGTGAGATCTCCGCGAGCGCAAGAAACACGACGACGACGAAGCAAAAGCTCATGGACTTCATGCCGGATAAACCGATGATTTCCGAGCACTCACTCCACTCCACTCCACTCCAGCATTGTCACCACGAAAGATATACGCAGTGGTAGCAGCACAGCAATGCATCATGGTGCGTCCACTTTGAGCGCGTGAGTGGAAGTCACACTCAACAATCCAATTCCTGGCAGTGGAGTGTTTGACGGGAGTGTCCAACGCTTGTCATCGATCATCGGACCAGAAGATCTAAGTTTGCGCTATCGAGCGAGCAGTAGCGAGCAGGATATAAGCCGAGGAATCTCGCGGAGAGCTCTTCATCACTTCTTTCGCAGCGCGTGCGCCAAAGCCGGGATTTTTCACATGAAACCGGCTGGCCGAGAGGAGTGATCCCCACACGGTGTCGTCGGGTCCCCCCAAAGGCATGGAATTCACGATCTCTTCCGCGACCTCCAGCTGCCCAGCTCGTCCAAGAATGTCCACAGCGATCGCATAGTGTTCTTTGGTGGCAGACACTTCCGTATGATCCTGGGTCATCCGTACGAAGAGTTTCAACACTTTCTCCAAGTTCCCGGCGTGCGCGCACACGGCGAGGAGGCTCACAACGCAGATTTCGTTGGGCTCTACTCCGCTCGCGAGCAGCTGCGAGTAGAACGCGACGCCATCGCTGTGATTGCCGAGTTGCGCGTACGCTGCGAGCAAAGAGCTCCACGAAACCAAGTTCTTCTCCGGCATTGCATCGAACAGTCTCTTCGCGTAGAGCAAATGCCCATTCCGGGCAAATCCAGCGACGATGGCGTTCCACGAGATCACGTCTCTCCGGCTCATCCGATCGAACAGCATCTTCGCTTGGATCAGCTCCATTCCCTGGAGAAACGCGCTGATCATTGCATTGCATGAAACCACGTCTTGCTCCGGGATCTCATCCAGGAAATCGCGTGACCCACTCGCTGTTTTTTGCGCCGCCATGCGCTCAAACGTGATCCTGGCTAGATCCTGGTGCCCAAAGCGCGCGTAGGCCGTGATCATCGCTGTCCAGCTCACAGCATTGAGCTCTTCCATGGAATCAAACAGAGCTTTTGATTCCTCCAGCTCGCCCCTCTCGGCGTAGGCCGTGATCATCACATTGCAAGCGTCGATCGATCGGCTGGGCAATCGCTCAAACAATCCCCTCGCGGATTCCAGATCGCCCACTCGAGAGTACGCGCCAATAATCGTGTTCCAGGAGACCTGGCTCTTCTCGGGAAGATCCTCAAACATCTGCCTCGCGCGATCGATCTCGCCAGCCTCGGCATACCCCGCGATCATCACATTCCACACCACCGCGTCCCACTCCAGCATCCGATCAAACAGCTCCCTCGCGCGATCCATCTCCCCGGCCAGTGCTCTCGCCTGGATCATCGCGGTCCACGACACCACATTCCTCTCGGGCATCGCGGCGAAGATCTCACGCGCGCGCTCGAGATCTCCCCGCGCGACGCACGCCTGGAGGACGTTGTTCCACGAGACCACGCTCCTCTCGGGCATGGCAGCAAAGATCCTCTCGGCCTCCTCGACTCGCCCGCGATGGGCGTACGCCGCGAGGATCAAGTTCCACGCCGCGATGTCGCTGGCGGGCATAGAATCAAACGCGATCTTGGCGTCCTCGGGACGAGCGCTCTGGACGTAGGCCTGGATCAGCGCGGTCCAGCACGCGATGTCATGCTCGGGCATTCGATCGAAGAGCGCCCTCGCCATGGCGAGATCGCCGTTCCTGGCGCAAGCGTGGAGCATCGCGTTCCACGAGACGAGATTCCTCTCCTCCATCGAGAGAAAGATTGAGACAGCGTCGACGATCAGCCCCGACTCGCCCAGAGCGGTGATCATCGACGTCCACGACACGACGCTCCACTCCGGCATAGAAACAAAGATGTTCTTCACGGAGTAAAGATCCCCCTTCTTGGCATTTGCGTAGATCAAAGCGTTCCAAGTCATAACATCCAACATCGGCATTTGATCAAACGCGGCTTTGGCTTCGTCAACTTTTCCGGATGTCGCATAGCACTGCACAATCGTCGTCCACGTGAAGATGTTTTTTTCCGGCATTTTGTCGAAGATGTTCTTCGTTATCAAAATATGCCCAGTTTGGGCATATGCTGATAGTAACGTTGTCCACGAGACAACGTCGTGCTGCGGCGTTCCATCAAACACTCTCTTCGCCTGATCTAAGTGCCCATGTTTTGAAAGCGCTTGTATCATCGAATTGCACGAGACGAGATTGCGGCTGGGCATCAAGTCGAAGACATCCTGCGCTTCCCGCAGATGCCCATTTTGGGCATACGCCGCGATGATGATGTTCCACGAAAAATCGTTGCGGGCGTGCGGGGGGATTCGATCGAAGACGCCGCGGGCCTCGCCAGGGCTGCCACATTTGCCATACATCTGGATGAGGAGATTGGCGATGTAGCGATTGTGGGCGTGATCGCTGGTGTCGACGACGCGCGCGTGGAGGCGCCGGGCGGCCGCGAGGTTCCTGCAGTTGCCGCATTCCTGGATTTGCGTCGCCAGGGATTGAATCGTGGACGTGCTCATCGCGACGTCTCTTCGTCATGCCAGGGTGTGTAGAAAAAGTCCGTGGTAAAGATTTGATTATCTGTGAGGTTTTCTTTGGATTATTTTAAACTTCCTGCATTGTCTTTTTATTTTTCCAATTATGTGAGATTCTCTTTGGATTATCTTAAACTTGCAGCACTGTTTGTTTGGTTGGAGACAATGAAGAACAAATCGAGTTTTGTTTTAATTTCTTTTTGATTATGGAATTCGCCCACGTCTCTGGTTCTTAATTTTTAATTAACACTACTTCTCGTTACGATTGTCGTGCTTTAGGTAAAGGCCAATATGCATCAGTCGACAACACCTAGAAATCCGGAAATTTAATCTCAATTAACTGAATAAAGTGAAAGTTAAACAAAGAAAAAAGGTTATACTTGCCTGAAGTTGGAGCTGCATGAATTTGACATAATTTATAGCTTTCTCAAGCATGGTTACAAGGTCTACCTGCATTTGTCAAAGAAAGTTTCTATCAAGATTTTCCTCGTATCATCGAAGTTTCTTTACACAAACCTTGGAGCCATTTGGAACCAAGTCTTGCAAGATCTTCAAACGCTGGCTTATTCGTTCACGTCTTTGCTGCAGAATCAAAAGAAAAAAGAAAAGAAAAACGAGCTCATGAGTTTGATCTGGTCTAAGATCTCCAGACTTCTCTCTCACCCTTGCGGCGATGCTTTGCGGATCATTGGCAGTCCCTTGCCTCGATCTCGGTTTTAAGTTCGTGTTGAGAGCAGTCGTGCAACAAGAAGAAGCCGGAGATGAATCTATCTGATCACTCAATAGACCAAGAAAATGAGTTGTTTATCGAGATTCCGCGGTCCAGACGTGCGTACCTTTTCGCGTTTGGAGAAAGCGTTCGTGGTGTTTTGATCATCCGCGCTTCTCTTCCTTGTTGGGCTTGAGCTTGAGTTTGAGATGATCCTCGGAGCCCCAGGTTGATCAAGTGCCTGGGAAGATCCGAGCGGCGGCATTCTCCGATTGGCATCAGTCAAGTAATTCACGTAGAGCGGCGGATGTTCCATGAGGCTGAGATACTTCTCGTCCAGAGGCTCGACTTGGCAGTAGTATGCAAGCTCTTGTCCATGGAAATCTTCCGGATTTCTTTGATCTTGCGAGTGATCATCAAGTGGAGTTAGAAGAGAGGAATTGCCAAACGAGGGATCACCCATCAAAGTTTGCTGGAGCTCTAGTTGCGCCTGGAAGCTCTGATTAAACTCTAGAGGATGGTACAAGCTCTTGGGAGCAATTGAGCTGTATTCCTTGTAGCCATGGGAGTTTACCGGTGAGGAATCCTCCACCAGAGGCGGTGGGAGGTCCGGCGAGAGCAAATCGAGAGAGCGGCAGCAAACCTGGGAGTAATCGAGGAAAGAAAAGTCACCAGGATCGCAGCTTGATATGCGAGAGCTGCTGGAATTGGTGATGCTGGTGAAAGATGGCGACGAAGAGCTTCTAGTTCTCCTCACAACATCCATGAAGGATCTCTTGCTCTTGTTGTTGGATAGACTTGAAGTGCCAGTGATAATCTGGGCATAAGCTTTCCTTGGATCTAAGAAGTTGTGAATGAGAAAAATTTGCGCGTTTGTCAGGGATCCCAGGCCAGGGCATTTATATCGAAGTCTACTTACTTTGGTGAAAATGTTTTTAATTTGGCCTACTGTTAAACTCCAGATTTACTCCTGTAAAATGTCAAACCCTCGTGTGCTCCTCCGCAAGCGTGCCACAGAAGTCGTACGTTCCGGATTTTCTACCCATATTTCTTCCGGAACTCGTGGAATGGTTTCAATCGCTCGCATGCCTCTGTGGATTTTGGTTTTTTTTTCTTGGGGGACACTCCCATGTGGACTTAATCAAACCAAAGTTACATTCTTTTTCTGCGTATTTTGATTAAAAATGTAGTGATCCACTTCACTCCACCTTTGCAATCTTACGTAGAGATTTTGTTGTTTTGCTGCCTAAAGTATCAATGGAAAACATGTGATCCGCGCTAACAGGCAAACGGAATCGTGTACCATTAGTGACAAGCATGTCCGAAAGGGCATAGAAAAGTTACGGCTCATGGTTCACGCAAAATACTTGTTTACCAGCTTTTAGACCTAATGTTGCCCTAAAAACAGGGGAACACGTGGCGTGCAAGCATTGGTCCCATATCTCCTTGGAAGCCCTAGATATGGGGGAATCGATTAGGGTTTTTGGGTGCGTGAGATTCATTCAAATGGCATCCATGTGTCCAGGTGAGACGATTCAAATCGGCGCCCGCGCGATCGCGCTCATTGTGATTGAAATCTAGATAGGGAAGTGGAGGATGGGATCGCCGCCCCGCTCGCTTGCAATGGCAGTGCGAATCGTGTGAACGACGACTCGGACGATGATAAGCCTCAATCCTTTGGCGTGAATAAGGGAGCTCCAGCAATGGATCTTAAGCGCCAAGTCAAGGACGAGGAGCAGCCAAATGGATCGTCCTCCAGATTGGAGGCTTCCAGCAAGCCCAGCAGCTCCAAAGTTCCTTCTCCTGGCACTGCGACCAAGCCTGCTCCCTTGAAAACTTTCGCAAAGCGCTCGCTTAAATCGCTGGAGAGCCCGGAGAGCGCTCCCAGGAAGAAGGCCAAGACCGAGGTAGACGATGGCGATGGTGGCTCTTCCGTGAGGAGGCTCATTGAGGCGTCGAGGAAGCCTGGGAAGATTGACGCTCCCAAGAAGATCGATGCGTCGAAGAATGCAAAGGTGGCCGTGAAGAAGGAAGGCGCGAGCTCCTCCAGGAAAGTTGACGGCTCCAAGACGAGGAAGCGAGTTCTAGACGAAGCGGAGACGAAGAAGGCAGTCGTGAAGAAAGCCAAAGTCGAGAAAGACGAGAGCGAGGAGATGGAGGAGGAGGAGGAGGAGGAAGAAGAGGAGGATGATTTCGAAGGCTCGGAGGTTTCAAAGAAGGTTGTCGTGACGAAGTCGGCATCGTCTTCCGGCAAGAAGAAACTGGTGGAGACGAAGATCACGAAGAAAACGGTCGTGAAGAAGGGAGGAAAGGATGGTAATGGTGGACAGAAGTGGACGACGCTGGAGCACAATGGTGTCATGTTTCCTCCGGCTTATCAGCCTCATGGAGTGAAGATGCTCTACAATGGCGAGCCAGTGGATCTTACTCCGGCACAGGAAGAGGTTTGCGGGCTTTTGTTGGTTGTTTTCGAGTTTAAGCGACTGAATTGTTTGTTCTTGTGGATACAGGTTGCCACAATGTATGCCGTGATGAAAGACACGGACTACGCAACGCAGGCCAAGTTTAACAGCAACTTCTGGCAAGATTGGAAAAAGATTCTCGGTTCAAACCATGTCATAAAGAAGCTGGAGCTTTGCGACTTCACTCCGATTTACGACTGGTACCAAAGCGAGAAGGAGAAGAAGAAGCAACTGAGCTCTGCGGTTAGTTTTCTCTGGTAGTATGCTCGGCTTAGGCTGAAGTTTTGTTTTCTTTTATCAGGAGAAGAAGCAACTAAGAGATGAGAAGGCCAAGGCGGAAGAAAAATACACCTGGGCGCTTGTTGACGGGGTGAAGGAAAAGGTACGTGTATCTCTTTTCTTTCTTTGTTTGAGCTAATGGTTACTTACACTGCATTTTCAGGTTGGAAACTTTCGAGTGGAACCTCCAGGCCTTTTCAGGGGGCGCGGTCAGCATCCTAAGATGGGAAAGCTCAAAAGGCGAATTTTTCCCGAAAATATCGTCATCAATATTGGAAAGGGTGCTCCCGTTCCGGAGTGTCCGATGCCCGGTCACAAGTACGTACGACGCTTTTTATGCGAGCTCTTTATGAGTTTAACTTGGACTTTACTTTTCAGCTGGAAAGAAATTCGGCACGACAATACAGTCACTTGGCTCGCGTTTTGGAACGATCCGATTAACGAGAAGGAGTTTAAGTACGTGTTTTTGCACCCAAGCAGTAGCCTCAAGGCTCAGAGTGACATGAAGAAATACGAGAAGGCTAGACAGCTGAAGGTTCGGTGTTTTTTGTAGCTTTGCCTCGCTTCACTCATGCGATTTTTATAGGATTACATTGACAAGATCCGGAAAACATATACGAAAGACTTCGGCTCTACAGATCCCACAAAGAGACAGATTGCAGTTGCAACTTATCTCATAGACAGGCTTGCCCTTAGAGCAGGAAATGAGAAGGATGACGATGAAGCTGATACCGTAGGCTGCTGTTCTTTGAAAGTAGAGCACGTCAAACTTTTGGATTCGAAAAAAATCGAGGTAAGGTCTTCTCTCGCTTTTTAATTCCGTCTCCTAACCTTGTTTCTTTTGCAGTTCGATTTTCTCGGAAAGGATTCCATCAGATATCTCAACGAAGTAGCTGTCGAAGAGAAAGTTTTCAAGGCTATAGGGGATTTTCAGAAAGGTAGTGATTCTGGTAGCATCGCTTCAAACGCTGCTGGTTGATGAATGCAGGGAAGAAAAGCGGCGATGATTTGTTTGACAGGCTAGACACAAACAAATTGAATGCTCATTTGAAGGAGTTCATGCCGGAGCTCACTGCAAAGGTTTTCAGAACGTATAATGCCTCCATCACTCTCGATAACCAGGTTTGGCTTGAAGTGTTTTCTTTCATGCTAGTTCTTTAAGTGCAAATCGCCAGCTCGAGCATACGGATGGTTCAATCGTCCCGGAAAAAATTGGAGACTACCAACGAGCAAACAAAGAGGTGAATAGCCTTGCAAAGGAAACGTTTGGTCCCTTTACAGAATGTCTTTGCAGGTGGCTGTTCTCTGTAATCACCAACGGACGGTGTCCAAGAGCCATGGCGCCCAGATGGAAAAACTCGAAGGAAAAATGGCCGAGCTAAAGGTTTTGAGTTACTTTTCTTACTAGTGGCATTGTTCTAAGGCTTTGCACCTCAGGCTCTGCGTGAAGAGATTGTTATAGACTTGGAGAGAGCTAGGAAGGGAAAGCCTCCTCGGAAGGATGAAGATGGCAAGACAAAGAGGAACCAAAGTCCAGAACAGTAAGTAACGCTCATACGTTCTCTCTTTGCTCAAGTTGGATCGAAACAACACAGGCTGGAGAAGAAGCTAGAGCAAACCGATAACAAGATCCAAAAGATGGAACTGGACATGAAAGTTAAGGATGATCTCAAGACAGTCGCTCTGGGAACTTCTAAGATCAACTATCTAGACCCACGAATCACCGTCGCTTGGTGCAAGAGGAACGACGTACCCATCGAAAAGGCAAGTAGCAAAAAACAAAAAAAAAAAAAAAAAAAAAGCTCGCACGAATGACTGACCTGTGGAACTCTTGACAGATTTTCACGAAATCTTTGCTCCAGAAATTCACCTGGGCATTGGAAGCGGAACCAACATTCCGGTTCTAACCCAAGAGAAATCCGTGCCGGTGTACCATTATGTGAAGAAGGTTTTGAGCAAGAAAACGTTGACAACGTTGGAGAGAAGTCAGTATGGACCGCAAAAGCAATCGTTTGCTCGTCGCTCGTCCCAGGCCTCAACCTGCATTGACACCACCACCATTCGAGTTTTTTTTTTTTTTTTTTTGGTTTTTCAGTCTCATCGCCTCGGCTCGAGAGGAAAAAGAGGATTCTTTACCCATTCGATGGGGCACAATGACTTGTAAGCTCGCCTGTACTTCTCACATCTCGAATCGCCCTCGCCATTTTCTTGGATGCATCTAACACAAGAAGAAGAAAAATTTGATCTCTTCTCTCCAAAATCCTTTCCACTCACTTGTGATACTCCACGTATTTCGTGAAGCAATTCTTCGTTTGGTTGGTCACTGGGAAGCGCGAGTCGGGAGGGCACGTCTTTATATCTTTGGCCTGGAAAGCACAAAAAAGGAAATCAGTCGATCCAAAGCAATTGATCCGATGGACGCACCGTGATCTTTGGCGTCGATTTCTTGCCGTCCTTGTCTCCTCCTTTCTTGGCCTCCGCCGAGGCCACATTTCCCTCCATGCCATCGTCTCCATGCCCGCAAAACCCTTCCCATTCAGCTGAATCATCGTGACCTTTCAAAACGCGCCCATCCAACGGCTGCAGTTTGCCCTACCGTTAAGTTCGTTCGTCATCGTCAGCCATGGAGGATCAACTTCTACACAAAACTCTCAGTCGGGAGTTGCTCAACCTGTTTGAACCTTCTCAAGCTTCCTACAAAACGCTCGTTAACCGGGTTCCAAATTTTCCAATTTACAAAGGAGGAACGCAAAATCTCCTCAAAACTTTTGCTTTTTCTGTACAGTGCTTAGTCACTCAGCTGAGATCGAATCCAGCCTCGGCAGCTATTGCATAGAGTAGCTTCTCACGAATCGTATCCTTGCTACAAGAAACAAGAAAAGAACAGATCAATGAACTGCTACAAGTAAGAAAAATAAACACCAACGAACCTTTTGTAAGGAGGGAGTTTCAGGAGGTTCAAACAAGTCGCCGACGTGGGGAGTCTGTCAAGAGCCTCCTCTGCTGCGCCTTCGGGAGCGGTCCTGGAATCGAAGGACAAAAGAGAAAAGAAGAACAAGTGGAGAAAATGGTAAGGTGAAAGAGCTTACTTCTGGATGCAAAATCGAGGCTCCAGGTATTTGAAGCCGAGCAATGGCCCTCTCGAGCATCCCGTAACAAACCTGCAAATGAAAACGGTCACGAACACAAAATGAAAACAAACGGATACGAACTTTAGGAACTTCCGCTGCATATTTGCATCCAGGGCTTTCACGGTATCCCAGAACATCTGAATCACTGGATGGTTCTGCCAAAAGAAAAGAAGTATTCGCTCGCCACGCAATGAAAGAGAAGTATTCTACCTCATGATAGCCACCACCATAGTTCACGTTGTGATGGAGATCGTCTATGTCCATGGCATCTTCAAATCCGGAGATAAGGATCTGCGACAGCAACGACATAAGTGTTTTTTCTAACCAGCGAACATGTGAAACTAAACCTGGAGTTCGTGCTCGTTGAACATATCTAACCATTCCGGGCTTATAAGTTGTTGAAAGCCACGCAAAAAATGGTTACTTTGTTGGCGGATCTGCAGGAACAAGTGACTGACTGAAAAACCAAGCAGCACTAACCTGGTGATTCAGACGGTGATTTGCTACCAAGTGAATGTATCGGTAGACGTTGTCTTTGGTGACTTGGATATCCTTTCCCCCTGGAAGAAGCTCCACCTCTAATTGCTCTCCATATTCATTGTCTTCAATTACGAAATAGAGGCCCAGCTGCTGCACCATATTTGGGTTGTTCTGTAAAACAAGCTCGTCAGGCCAAAATCAAAGAGCTCAGTTATACCTTCAAGAAAAGTAGATTCTTATAAAGCTCTGGATCCAGCGAAGGTAAATCGTGTAGGTAATTGTGCCTGCGAAAGAAGAGACTAGTAAGCTAACACGTAAAGCAGCTGTAACTTACTTCTTCCTCAGCTTACGCAGGAAAAACATGGCAAAAGGTATGTCCACGAGAATCCCTTCAAACATTGCCTGCTCGGTGAATGTTAACGAGGAAATAAAAAGTTCCTATGCAAGCTCACCTTTCCCAATATTTTGCCAAAAAACTCGAAGTATTGCAGATGCTCGTCGTTGACCATATGGGACGCTGGGTTAGGATACAAAAGATGGTCCGCAGTTTCCTGGAATACGTTGTAACGGCTGAGCGCGAATGCATGTAGTTACCTTGAACAAGCCATATTGTATGTCAAAACCTGCACTGGTTATGTTTTCCATAAAATCTTTAAAAATGCCGCCTCCGTCGACTCCGGCTTCCTCAGCACCGAGTTCATTGACGTAAGAAACTCTGATCTGTACAAGCACGAACATCAGAACTAGAACTAGCTTCAAATTTGTGAACCCATTACCGTTCCCCGCAGAGACTCGTCGCTGAGCACATTGAACTGCATAAAGGCGTCCTCGATAATACGATCTCGTTGCACTTTGATTTGAAGTCCATATTGGCGGGACGTGTTTTGCCTTGCAGCAGTTCGTTGAGCCTGCAATTACGCATTACAGGAAGCTAGTAAAGGGAGACGGGGAATTACCGTGTATACACGAACTCTGAGTGTGAACGGTATTAGAAAAGGAGCTCTGTTGAGAACCTCCCGGGCTTTGGTATTCTCCCCTTCTGCCTGCGTACGTCACGGTGCCTTGAGTTACGCGAAAATGATAGTAGGAAATACCTGGTGGAAAAAGCTTTCTTCAATCGCTTCCCTTGCATGAAATGTGTGTGATGGTGCAAACTGCCGCTTGCTATTGCGGTCATGCAGCTGCAAGGAATAGAATCATAAGAAAAGAATAGTAGAAAGTGACGTACCTCCGCCAGTAGACTTGCAGAAACATTTATAAAAAATTGACGCATGTTTTGAAACACAAATATATCGGAAGCGACGAAGGCTGACGGCTTGAAAGGCATAACCCACAGAAGCTGCCAGAGTCCCTACAGTAACAGACAATGTCAATCGCTTTTATCAATAGTATCTGGTTGCGCACCTCCTTCAAAATAAGCACCAGTTGCTTAACATCTTCTATACTTATCGGTTGTTTCATGTTGTAGAACTCATCGTTGTCCATGCTAAAAAGCAGATGACTGCAAAAAAAGACTTTAGACAAGCACGCGATCATTTTGAACGCACCTGAAGACGGGACAGAAAACCGCAAGTGGCAGCATCCAACCAAGTAGCTCTGGTGATAGCTGCGCATCCTGAGAAGGCAGCTCGATCGCTGGCCAGTTGTTATTCAGCCGACAAGAAGTAATATATTGCCACAGTGGAGGCACCAGGTTCGCAACGTATGCCAAGCGCGAGACTATTGTAGTTCTATCCAGTACAGAAAATGCCGCATATAAAAAGCCGCAAACGGCAGAAACCGCACTGGCTTCCGGAGCACCACCAAATGGTGTAGCAACCGTATTCAAATCGAGTGGAGCTTGTGAGAAGGCAACCCTCACCTGGAAGATAGTGAGAAAACGGGTTTTGAAAGATAACAATTTCATGTACCATTTCTTTCAGGAACATCCCATCAGACGCGTGCTTTAGCTGGGATATCAATGCTGGTTCTAAAGCAAAGCTCTCTTCAATGTCAATTTTCATGTCGTCGTCCTCGCTGGCTGCAAGAAGAATGTTGTTAGAAGAATAATAACGTGAGAGTGTTACCATCACTGAACGTTTCCTTCGGACAAAGAGCACAGGTTATCGGTGGAGTGCTCAACAGAGTCCGTGCTACATTTGCTATATCTGTGACCTGCAATGCTCTCGTAACATACATTTATCAACAGGAGGCATATCAAACTTACCAGCTGAATCATAGTATTTGGTTGTTGCATGGCGAGTCGTGAGCTTTCCAAGAGGTTTCCCAGCAAGCAAACAAATGACGGAAACTCAGGGCTTACATCAGAAGGAAGAGAGCTCCTCAAGTCAAGTTTATTTATGGCTGTTTGATGAACAACAAAAGCCCAAACACCGTCCGTAACGCTGACCTGTGAATGTCTCATATAAAAAACTTTTTTAGAAAACGAAAGCTTTCGGACCTCTTTCAGACGCGGAAGTCGTCGCCAGAGAAGTGGAACAGAAAATATCTGAGCCGGGAGACTCCAGGTAAATGGCACCGGCTTCAAGTACTGAAACTTTTCCACATACAAAACAGAGAGCTGATGTACAAGCCGCTCCAAAGATAACATCACCAATGGTCGAGCATCTGTGTTTTTCTGGAAAAGAAATGTGTTGTAACACAAGTAGCCTGGAAGTGAGTAACATACCAATGTCAAGACGAGATCACGAAGAAGACAAAACATCTTGTTGAGTGCAAGGTGCTCAATAAGACTTCCAGACCAAGGCAACTCGACCGTTGCAAGGCTGAGAATCGTGCGCACGAGAACCCCTGCGACATCGTCTCTGGATCCATCTTCTGGAAGCATTAACTCTTCCTTAAGTGATTCTCTGTAAATCCAATGTAAACAAGAAAACAATCACGACTGCGTTACTCTCACATACCGGTGATGGTAGAGACCTTGTAGACAAAGAATCGCAAAATGCTTCACTCTATAGTTAATAGCACCTCTTTGAGTCGTATAGTCTCCGCTAACAAAAACCGAGAAGACACCACCTTCTGTGGATCAAGTCAGGCTCCAGCATTTTCATTCAATGGAGCTTACCCGTTTCACTCATGCATCGAAGAAAATGGCGGCAAGCTCCAGCCAGCCGGTAGAAATCCGCTGAATTTTTCGGAGAGATCATGAAGAAAATCTGAGGAAGATATAAAGACTCGGGCTTGAAGACGTTCCTGAAAATAGAATAGAATAGCTAGCTATGAGCTCCAAATCTATCAAAAGCTATGAGCTCTGCAAGAATCACCTGTCCGCTCTATCGCTAAATTCTCCGAAAGCTGCGACGAATTTCTCTCGAATGAGGACCTGATTGACCGCTACGTCTCGCCTTCCCCGAAAGCATTTCTGGGAACAAGAATTCGGAATCCGGGAATGAAATGGAGGACACTACCTGGATTCGAAGAGCGCCTTGCTGCCGCAGCCGCGCTCGCTGCCGCTGCTCGCGCTCGTCCTTGACCCTGTTGAGAGTCCCTTGCCGATCGCTCTCCTTAGAGCTGCGCCCTCGCAGCTCCACCTTGCGCCGCAGCCCCGGATCGCCGGAGAAGAACATCGTGACCTAGAAATCCAGGACGCTGCAAGCCCGCTACGCTACTAAATCGCCATAATCCTTCTGCTTGCCCTCGTCTGTGGTTGCATTGTATTGTCTCTCATAGTTTTAAGAAAACCGACATCGGACGGTCCACACGCACGACATTCCGGACCTAGATTCCCTCCAATCACAGCTCGTCCATTTTATTTCGCAAAGTTAGGGTTCTAGCAGCGATGATTCAGTGCTTGTTCCTCCTCTCCGATGCCGGGTACGCCTCTCTGAGCTATCTGTGGTCTAAGCAGGAAATTTCCCTGTGCAGTGACGTGATTCTTGAGAAGCAATGGATGGGAAAGCGCGTGGAGCGATCCATTTGCAGCTGGTTCTGGCGGCAGCGATCAGAGAAGGAAGATCAGGTAAGATCAAGCTCTCTTTTGCCAAGACCTACATTCTTT